GTGAGTACAGAGCTGAGTGAGGTGAGTACAGAGCTGAGTGAAGTGAGTACAGAGCTGAGTGAGGTGAGTACAGAGCTGAGAGCGTATAAATGCGCTTTAATTACCCAGGGTCTCGCGTTTAAGTTTCCCTTCAAGCCATCTGATTATCACATATATGAAGTAAAATTGTTAATAGTTAATTTTCTGCCTTAACATTTTTCTATCGTTATATACGGGCAGTGATGAAGGGTTCTGCAGTGAAATAGATTCGTGCCTGAATAACTATCTTCCCAGCAGGCAATGTCAGATTGAATCAACGTTGAAACAACAATATTCGCGTAGATGAAATAACGTTGAATATTAGTTAAGTACGAAAAGTGAATCATCGTCATTTTCTTAACGTCGTACATAGCGACGTTGTTTAACGTCGAAGTCGCGTTAACATCCATTTAACGGTAAAATTGCGAATATATATATGCAATTTTAGCGTCAGAATCAAACTAAATTTCAACGTCTACACAGGGTCCTAATGTACCACGAAGAAAATGTGGCGTTGATTCACTTTTCATTCTAAACTAATATTAAACGGTATTTCAACAACGCGAATTTTGTTGTTTCAACGGTAATTCATCCTTAAATTGCCTGATGGGATATTTCTCGAAGATGTCAGGTAACTGCCTTCCAATTCACATCGTAAACTGTTCTACATTTCTCTGTGTAATTTTAATACCTGATTCACTGAATTTCTTTTTTTTATTCTCTAAATCTGTATAAGATCGAGGAATTTCTGGACGAGTTGGCGGAGGAATATCCCGACCAAGCCGCGGTCAAGAAAATCGGCGAGTCTGCGAATGGAAGACCGATCCACATGGTAAAAAGCGTGACAAATAGATTATTCGCACCTTATTTATTGCATAGGTAATAGTAAGCGTTATTATGACCATTAAAACAGTAAATAAATGATAGGTAAAAACAACATATTATATTTATATTTCCTAAATTATTTTTCATGTGGCAAAGCAGTAAGCCGAGGAGGACCAAAACAAGCTGGAATTATATTGATATTAAACGCAGTGTGATACATTTTTCGTATTTTTCTGATGACGAATTTTGGTGCGAGGAATCAAATCAATTAAAGGTCAGAAGTCTATGGGAACATAAGTTTAGAAAGACATGAATTTTGGGACATGTTAGCGAATATGTGCACACGTCAGACAGTCCATGTGATCCTCGTCTGCCATGTGCTCACGTCAGACAGTCCATGAGATCCTCGTCTGCCATGTGCACACGTCAGACAGTCAATGTGATCCTCGTCTGTCATGTGCACACGTCAGACAGTCCATGAGATCCTCGTCTGCCATGTGCACACGTCAGACAGTCCATGTGATCCTCGTCTGCCATGTGCACACGTCAGNCTGTCTCTTATACACATCTAGATGTGTATAAGAGACAGCGTCAGACAGTCCATGTGATCCTCGCCTGCCATGTGCACACGTCAGACAGTCCATGTGATCCTCGCCTGCCATGTGCACACGTCAGACAGTCCATGTGATCCTCGCCTGCCATGTGCACACGTCAGACAGTCCATGTGATCCTCGCCTGCCATGTGCACACGTCAGACAGTCCATGTGATCCTCGCCTGCCATGTGCACACGTCAGACAGTCCATGTGATCCTCGCCTGCCATGTGCACACGTCAGACAGTCCATGTGATCCTCGTCTGCCATGTGCACACGTCAGACAGTCCATGTGATCCTCGTCTGCCATGTGCGCACGTCAGAACACGTCACATATTTCAGGTGATCATCAGGCCCAGCGCCTCAGCGACTGCCACGACCAACGAAACCGGCGGACCTGCGGTCATTATCCTCGATTCTGGTACATATTGAAACCATATAAATTTTAACATGAATTGAATTAACAAATTAAGCCCGATGATTTGATTTGAGTTTCTTTGAATAAATAAATAATTATTAAGCCCGATGATTTGAATTTAAAACCACCAGTATTTATTATACAATGTGATTTATTGTTAATATGTCATCACTGACTCGTTATCTGGAAACGGACTGAAAGCTTTTCATGCTTGTCATAAAATCGCAGAATTTTGAAAATAATTGAAAGTGAGTACTAGAAGAGAATTTTTTTATTGTAAATGTCATATATTCACAAAGCCCCAAGGAAATTTTAAAGTGAAAGCTAAAAGAGAATTTTTTATCGTAAACTTTTGCAGCCACTCACGCCCGGGAGTGGCTGACGGTGTCGACGACCCTGTACGTCATCCAGCAGCTGCTGGACCAGCCCAGCAGTCCAGCTCGGGGCGTCGAGTGGCGGATCATTCCAGTCGTCAATCCAGACGGTTACGTGTACTCCTGGGAAAAGGTTCGGAACTATGGGCATATTATTACCATACTTTTGGGCATTTACATTTCAAATTTGAATTTATCTACATTTAAATTTTTCCTTATTCACATTTGAATTCCTTTTTATTGAAATTTATTTTATTTGTATTTACATTTAAATTTTCAAATTACTTTGATAAATTTGTCTATTTATTTTGATGAATAATCTTCTCGTTTTTATGAATTTCCTTTTTATATGATAAATTCTATTGAGTTTTGATGACTGTCCTAGCTTTTTGCTTTGATGAATATTTTTAGTTGTAATGAATTTCTTATTCATCTTGATGATTATTTTTTGTTGCTGATTGATTATCGGTCATTGTTATAACGAATTGTTCATTTGGGCCAGTGTATGTGTTAATGTAATCCACATTCGCAAAAATACATTGATCAAATTTTAGAAATTTTAATTTTTCATGTGGTTTTGTGGTTTTTAGAACGATAATTCATCTCGACATGCCGTAAAATCCTCCTATTTGACCCCATACACTCAGAGAAATGTCCAAATTAATATGGAGATTTCTCTCTCAAAGGTCCAGGAGAAACGTCACTCATTGCCCAAATAGTGATGCACTTTTTCCTTACGTGGGTCATCTTCACCCAGTTTGGCCGGGCAAAAGTGGTTTTCCGTGATCCATCATTTTATGGTCTTTCATTCAATTTTTTCATAAAAAAATCAATTAATTAATTAATTTGACAAAATTAACAAATCAATTTTTCTCGTTGCATATTTATTAAACAAGGATCGCCTGTGGAGGAAGAACCGCAGGAGCCTGCCTGGTCACTGCCAAGGCGTGGACCTCAACCGAAATTTTGACGTGAATTTCGGAGGTGAGACGAATTTTTGCGAAGCTTTGCCGGTATATATTAAGTATATTGATTAATTCCACGAGGAATGAGAACTATGAAACCATCTCGCAAATCTTTATACATGATTTGTTTGTTACTAAAGATAAATTTGTCAGGTAGAGTGAGCTTCAAATTTGATACGTATCACGAAAACTCCACACATCTTCAAATACGCTAGATTATTAATAGTGATAATCGCAACTTCATTGATGGTATAAGCACCGATCAAATGGTAACACTGAACCACTACCGACACCGAAACCAGCTTAGCCAAGTCATAGTTTTTTAAACCTCGGCAAAGATGAGTTTAGCTGGACAGAGTCATGAAATAATAATCGGCCAGTTATTTCTAAAACAGCGCGGCGCCATGGCTAATATAGAGAAAATCTCTAGGAGCCCGGCAGAGCCGAAATACGGCACTGCTACATGGCATGGGCGGCTAGGAGCCAAACCAAGCAGTTGTTCAGGCCACACATTACGTGAAGGGTGGGATTTTTAGGGAAAGGGTTTTTTAAACCAATTAAGGAAGGAAGGGTTTTTTAAGGAAGGGTTTTTTAAAAAAAACAATCAGGGGCTAAGAAATGGAGGGGGATGTGAGTTGGAAGAGGGATCCTCAATCTTTCTATGTTTACGTGACGTAATATGCTATTCCAGGTTCATTAAATTCCTGGTACCAGTTATGATAATTATACCACGTCATTATTTTAATACTTTGAAATACGTAAGTGTTTTATTTGCTTCTCCAGTTTGAACACTTCCGCAAAGAACAATGTTTACGCACAACTATGCTTGTATTGTAGAGTTGTAATGTAGTGTATGGAGTTTCGTACGTGAAATGGTGGGAAGAACACGTCAGCACCGCAGAGGCTTTATCGGAACCATTATAATGAATACTGAACAAGAACGAAGGCTAAAGGAGCATGACTTCCATAACGTACTTCTTCTTCGTAGCTAGATAATTAAGCATACAGGAATATTGATATGCAACAATAATATTCAGGAAAGATCAATCAGTTTGTCATGCAAATTTTTTCTAACGTTAATGTACAGAAACCGTACGTTGTTGATTTGACGGTTGAATTTTATAGCCTTTAATCGATATCGCGAGTGTATATAAGTTTTAAATATTCAACAGCGACAACTCTCTGAGCTGCTATTGTTAAGATTGATGTGTCGGTGTTGATCTCAGCAAGAGGAAGAATAAATAATTGTAAATCATTGTCGCGTTCATGACAAAGGGTCAAGCTTTACTGCCGCGTGCACCACCTTCGCCGCCTGCAGAGCAAGCTTTGAGCTGCTTTGAGCCGGAGGAGCTCGCTGGGAGCATCGAGATCGTGTCTGCAGAACAGAGCTAGCCCTCCAGGGCCGGTGCTCAGAGGTTACAGTGACGCGCATATTTATTGGCAACTTTCAACTCTAAATCTAAATATGGCACCTATGTCCAAGATACTGATGAAATATTAGTGTGCTTGCATTAAAATGCTAGCCTGTAATCGTGTAAGCACATTTCTTACATTAAAAATATATTATTCATTTAATAATTTCAGGTATATCTTATTTTGTAAACTGATTGTTATTTTCCTCGTGCAAAATTAATGGCAACCTTTGCATGAAATCAATTTAACTCATCATTGTTGAACAAGAATATTCTAAATTGATCTGAGGATGACTCTACAACATTCCAGAACATTCCAAAACACTATGTGCCTATACTATAAACCTACACGCCAAGTTCGAACTTGCTCAGTTAGTCTTGGAAGCAGTGGTATAAACTCATCTCCAAGATTTTCTAAATTCAATTGTGGCAAAGACTTCTGAATACTCACAGGACATAAGGAAGTGTGCAGTTGAACTACACAACAAAGGAAATGGAAATCGAAAAATATCATCAACTCTGAATGTTACAATTTCATCCGTAAGGAATATTATTGTTAAGTTCAGGAATGATGGGACCACTGCTAATCGAGCACGATCCGGTCGTAATCGAAAATTAACCGAAAGAGATGTTCGTTCCTGCATGAAAATAGTAAATAAAGACCCGAAGATTACTTCCGAGGAATTGCAATCACACATGGCTAGTACTGGAAAAACTGTGGATGTGTCAACAGTGCGACGCTAGCTGAACCGTGAAGGCCTTCACGGGCGTGTGCCAAGGATGAAGCCACTGTTGAAGCCAATTCGCAAGAAGAATCGTTTGGAGTTCGCCAGGAAGCAGAGCTCAATAATATATTGGGGTCGGATGAGACAAAGCTTTTTGGTGTGAATGACAACCGCTTTGTATGTAGGTGAAGCTTTGTATCTGGTGAAGCTCTGCTGGAAAAGAACACTCTACCTACTGTGAAGCATGGTGGTGGGTCCATCATGTTTTGGGGATGCTTTGCTGCTGCAGGTACTGGGAATACTTCTGTGATAGAGGGCATCATGAATTCTGAAGGATATCAACACATTTTAACTGATAATGTTAAGCAATCGGCAAGAAAACTGCATCTGGGACGGGCATTTGTTTTTCAACAGGATAACGACCCTAAGCACACAAGCAAATAAAAACAGAAATATTTTGCTACGCAGAAATTGAG